TGGTTTTTAGGGCATTGGAACTGTCTAAGTGGTGTCTGTTTGCCCGTAGGCACAGAATCCTTTGGACTTTTCTCCTGTACCATCAATGGAGAGGAGAGGGACCAGACTCACAGGGCAGTCTACAGGTAAGACAACTGACGGTACACTATGTTTTGACAATGGAACATCACTGGAAGTAATGTGAATTACAGCAACAAGCAGATTCATAATAAAAACAAAAAAAAAATATTTTGTTGTTGTAGAAACAGAATAGTGGAATGAAATGTGAAACCCAGCTCCATTTCTCAAATGACCATTGTGTCTGGGGGGACATGTCCTTGTGTAGATAAACAAAACAATATTTCTTCGAGGTTTCATGGTTTCCAGTGTGTTATAGGGGTCATGTAGCAATAGTGAATCGCTAATTATGTTAGGGAGGAGGGCAGATGTCCAAGCTACAGCTGGGCTCGAGAGCTGCAGGGTGGCCAGTAATAATCACATCAGCCACCACCTGTGTCTGCGCTTGCGTGTGTTTGTGCAAGAGAGAGAGAGAGAAAGCTACATCCTCCTCCCTTGTGTACACGGACATGTTGTGCATGTATAATTGTTTATTTGCTTTATGAATCCTCTTAAAGTATGTCCCCACATTTAGAGCTATTTGTCTCCCTCCACCCACCCCACCATCTTTCTGTGTCAGCCCTTTCATCACTCCTCTTCCTCCGCACCCCCTATGGGAGTCACCCATGTAAGGACACATTGTTTAACAGAGATGCTTTTCTTTCTTTTGTCCTCCCCTTCTCTGCTGCTCTCTGCAGGTTCATTCCCAGACATGCAGATGAGTTGGAGCTAGATGTGGATGACCCTTTATTTGTGGAGGAAGAAGAGGATGACTACTGGTACCGAGGCTATAACATGCGGACAGGGGAGAGGGGCATCTTTCCTGCCTTCTATGCCCATGAGGTCATAGGCCAGTCTAAGGAGTTGTTGGGTGAGTTGAGAGAGTTCATCCACTGTCTTTTCTTCTCTCTCATTGTAAATTTCAGAAAAATCACATGTTCTTTATGTATGTGTCCACATTACACCCCCCAGGCATGAAGAGAAATCCAGCTTGGATTGAGACTTTTAGCGTTCAGTTTTTGGGATCTGTTGAGGTACCTTATCACCAAGGCAACGGCATTCTCTGCGCCGCCATGCAGAAGGTAAGCTAAGTAGAAAACAGAAAATGTGCAATCACACAGAACAGACACAAGCATGTATACTTTACTATATGCACTGCTAAAGCATGTTGATTTTTCTGTTAGATTGCGATATCGAGGAAACGGACGGTACATGTGCGACCTCCTTCTCTTTGCGAGTTGGAGATTAGCTTGCAAGGAGTGAAACTGATCATGAGCCTGGAGGATGAATATGACACCCTTGATGAGGTATTGACTGATAACGAAATAAATCACTAATTTGCTATGACAATTAATTCAAGTCAATTCTCCCTTTAGTTTGGAATAATATGGAATTGATGCTTGCTTGATGATTTAAGTCAACTTTTTGCCTTTCTTCTTGTCTGTCTCTGCATTGCTCTCATTTTTAGTATGACAGATGTAGTCACTTCTTCCAGATGAAGAACATCTCGTTCTGTGGATGCCATCCAAGAAACAACTGGTAAACAAACGTACTGGTTTTCTGTACTAGTGTTACCGGTGTACAGTGTAACATCATATTTATCATATTGTTTTCTGCTCTCTGCAGCTATTTTGGCTTCATCACTAAGCACCCGATGCTGAACAGATTTGCTTGCCACGTGTTTGTATCCCAAGAGTCCATGCGACCTGTAGCAGAGTGTGTTGGGTGAGTCCTAATCACATTAATATATCAATTACTTACTTATAATAGTTTGTTATATTATTAGCCATATCTGATTTGACATATTCAGTCTACTTAAACTGTAATTGTAATTGTTTAGATGTTGAAAATATGAATATCCCTTAAATAAAATTTACTTTGTAGCTGTACATAATATTTAAAGGTCTCTCTGATGGTTTTCTAAATTTTGTATTATAGTGCATCTTCACTACCATGATCCAGGTTTATTTTGCACTATAGCCTTTTATGTGTATGCATGTGTGTAAGGTTAAATAATGGTTGCAGTCTGACTCAGCCGTATAAGGTTTGCATAATTAAAGATACACATAGTTCACTGTCTCTGGATGGAGCACAGGCAGGCAGCAGAGCATGCGATGAGCAGAACTGTTTTTATCTATCAGCTCCTCATCCGGCTCCGTCTGTGGAATAGACCCAACAACGAGGGCATAATTTGTGAAAAACAATTACGCTTTTTTGATTCAGCAAGAGTGGTTTTGTAGAATTATTTTAATTAAGCAGTCTTTGTGTTTGCACCAACCAAACATGGCAGATTGATCATTATTCATGCTCTCATCTGTCTGTCTTTTCAGACGAGCCTTCCAAGAGTACTACCAGGAACATCTGGAGTATGCCTGTCCCACTGAGGACATTTACCTGGAGTAACAAGCGTTGCCATGACGACCTTCTTTCTCCACAGCTTGTGTATGTTCATCGAGTTTGCCACCAGAGGGCGCTGTCAGTGGGGTCTTCCCTCCATTGTAAAATACTCTTCTGTGCCCCTCTAAAATGGGGATCTTCATTTCTACAGTATGCTTGGCATTTGACTGATTTCATTCATCTCTCTCTTTGTTTATTTCCATCATCTCGATGGATTGATTGCCTGTTTATTTTATCTTTTTCTATGATATAAAACTAAGAGCTGAGCTGAGCACCTGTTTATTTAAAGGTTCCTCTTTTGAAATGAAAACAATATACCTACTACTGCTGTTTCACTTTTCAATGCATGGCTAGTAGGGTTACTGCACACAGACACACCAAGAAATACACATATCCAAGTGAATGGCAAGCAGCTCAACAATCAGTAAGATAATGGTGTAGAATCACGAGGTTGGCATTTAATTAACTGTAAATATGTATTTGTTCAATATTGGCAAACTGCTAATTTGATTTCTACTGATAGTGACATTGGAGCAAAGTAGAGAGAGTACAGTGAACTGTCCTTGGTCTGAGCTTACCCCTGTGTCGCGTACAAGACGTAGTGTGTGTTGTAAATAAATGTATAGAAAGTAGACATACAGGCGCCTCATGCAGACTAATTAAGAAATACTCACAGGTGAGACTAATGGAGGGGGTTTTGGTTTGTTGTGAGTATTGTTGACTCACTCTGACAGGAGTGATTGCAGGTGTAAGAGATTTTAGAGTTGTAATGACCTGGAATGAACTTTGAATGTCATTAGCCCTGCAGATATTTCATTCAACTTGGATAAGGTGAAGTAACTGTCAGCACATTTGGATGAAATAACAGAACCGTTATACCTTTGTCCAGTCCTCAAAGTTGCACTGCTTGCTTCACCGTGGGAAGCTTTCATAAGAAATCATTCAGCTGTTAAAATTGAAAATCATAGATCACTGTAAGCTTTGCTATGATTGATGTGACTTTCAGATCAAAGAAAGCAAAGGCCCTCTGAAAAGCCATATTCCCACACCTCTGACTGTTGAATTCGGGGTTTTAGCGACGCCCTAGTCTCCATTTTCTTTTGACTTGGCAGTTTCAATGAGGGAAAAGAAATGACTAGATGGACCATGAGCCACGTGTCAGTAATGCTGTATTGCAGTGTGCCTACTGCACAGTGAGAGCGTCCTGCTAATACTCGGTCCTGGTATCACAATGTAATCAAACCTTTAATAAAGCATTAAAAGGGAGGTTTTATAGTTATGTAAATGGTTAGACTTTGATCTTGTTTTTTAATTATGATGGATAAAAGAAATGGCCACATTCCCACATTTATTTATTGCTTTTAGTCTGGTCAAAGGCTAAAGCATCATTCTCACATTACACAATAACCTACTTTAGGGTTGTTGTAGGATTCTATAGCTTACAGTCTAGCACCTTACATAGGGAAAGGGGGTATATTTAAAAAATGACGTGGTCACTACAGACATCCGAAAATTCAGGCTTTGATGTTTACCACCCCCAATCATCCCCGTTGTTCTTTCAGACGCTGTTTAGCTTCTTGTTCTGCTGCTTTCAGTCAGTCCAGAACAAACACCTCAGATCTGCAGGATTTCACTGGGTGTTTACTGCAAGTTGATGTGGCAGGAAGGAGGTAGGGTGTTATCTACATATGTATCGCTGTCAGTTAGATCATGTATATACAATAGAGAATCTAAGATAGTGCTGTGTCCTTTATGTTGAGTATGTTATGAAATGAAATATGTACATTTATTAAAAAGTTTAAAAAAAAAAGAGATCACAACCTGACAAAAACCCCTGAAAGAAAAGAAAAACACGTAAATATCTGTGATCTGCAATAATTTTATTTCAGTGTCTTATGTTTCTACACAAGATATTAACTCAATATGTCACACCGGTGGCATTTGGGTTCCTGCCAACTCAATAACTCACTACAGACAGGCTTCAGCAGCACATTTAGGGCACATTTGTAAGATGTGACATCATTAGTGTACGACACACTCACCAGACTACTGACCAATCTGCTGTTAGAGCTGAATAGTGACTGAGTCAGCTGCCACTGGAAAACTATTATTGTGTCTTGCCGATTATAGTCATCGCCTTTAAACTCCAACAGTGTGACCCATCTCCGATCTGTATCTATTTGCTTCTGATTATGTTTTTCTATCTTGTTACAGCCTAGTTAAAATCCTTCTTTCCACACAGCTACACAAAAACAACCTCTGAGGATAATCTAGTCCCATATAGCCGCTGAGACATACATTAACAGTTAAACCAAACTTTTGACTTTATTACATTAACAAGATTCTTCACTGTATACCTAGAGCAAAACAGTATGTGACAGAACAAACATATCCTATCTTGTATCTTTAAAAACAAGGACTTGTAAAATTCCAGGGAAAAACAGAAAAAATGACAAAAAAATCACTCTGCCTTGTCATGGGTTTGGTCTTATGAATAAAATATATGCTTGATGTCCGAAACCTTTATTGTTGTCTTTATTGTTCAGATTTTTTGTGTACTTGATGTATGTTGCAAAGCATTTTCACATAGGAATCCATACAGTATTATTCCAAATGTTATGATTTTAAGGAATGTTGAGGTGGAAAGGTAAGTCCAATAATAAAACATGAAGTCAAATAGGCTAGAACAAGTCAGGAAATACACAGTACATTGTTATACATTAGTTATAAATGTAGTCACTGTTAAGAAAATCATCTCCTCACTGAGGAAACAGATTGTTTGCAATATTACTTTTCAGTATGAACAGTAATTAAAGTGTAGCTCTCCACAAGCACGTAGCTATGCATCATCATTTAATTAAATCTTTGTTCTTTCTTGAGGAAAAGTCAGTGCAGTACCTCCAGCATTCCCAACATTGTCATCATTAGTAGCTGCCCCATTAACAGTGGCAGCAGCTGGGCTTGGGGCTACATTCAGGATTGCAGCAAGGTTCCAAGTTCGGGTCTGTTCCTTTCGATATCTGGCTCTCTCCAAACACCATGGAGGCTTCAAACTGCTCCTTGACTTTCATGATCCTCTCCAGCACGGCTTGGAGGTCGGGTCTTCCCACCAGAGGGAGAGGGTAGTGCTCTGAGGGGTCAGCCTCCAGGTTGAAAATAAGAGGGGGGTTGTGGGCCTTGAGGAATGCAAATACTGGGCAGTCTTGGTCTGGAGTAGTACCGCTGTGTGTTGCACCTGGTGCACAAACATGGAGACGCAGAGGAGTATAAATATCTTAGTTCTGACTGTGTGATTATGTTTGAACGAATTGTGAAGCCAACTGTACCTCGTGTGTAGAAGTGGGCCTTGTACTTCCCTAATCTGAGTGCAAACAGGCCATACATCTCATTTGGATCTGTGGGGTAGAACATCATGGTCTCCCTTTTACTCTGCAAAAAAGATGTTAAAGATAAAAAAATGGAATACACCAGCTGGGTTTTCACATTATTTCAATCTCTACAAGAGTGTGAGGGACGATGCCACTACCTTTCCTTGGTTGACAAGGATTTCTGTCATATCGACCCCGTCCAGCATCACCTGGGGAAGTTTGGCTCCTGCCAGACTTGCGATGGTGGGAAGGATATCTAGAATGCTTCCGATCTCATGAGTCACACCTAAAGATATGCATACAGAAAAAAAAAAATCAGCAGTTGGTCATGTGTAAATGGGTTTGAATTCATTTTATTCAGTTGTTTATTTTCATACCAAAATAACCAATTGATGCTTGGAATGTATGAAATCAGTATAATCTATATCTATAGCTTTAAAGGGAAAATTAATATTATATGGAAGCATCACCCAGTCTAAACTTTTTGTGCAGATGTCTAAGGTGTCCTGACCTGGCCTGATGGTCCCTGGCCAGAAGGCGATGGCTGGCTCTCTCATGCCTCCCTCATATGTGGTACCTTTTCCACATTTCAGAGGGCCAGCATTTCCTCCACGGGACATTCTCATCAGTTCAGGCCTAGGCACAGATACAGTAATAACACACCATTTAATAAAATATAATACATGCAATATCATGAGAAAGTGAATACACACATATATATATCTCAAATATAATAGGGCAAAGATATAATGCATCTTTGAACAGAGGAAAAACACACTACTGTACAACGGCTATTGTAGAGGAAAATTAAAATATCTGCATAAGAAAGTGTAAAAGTGACTACAAATACATACAGGCCATAGCTTAATTTGCATATATAAACAAACCAGGGGCAAAAACCAACCCATTGTCTGATGTGAAGAAGACCAGTGTGTTGTTGATCACTCCTGTCTTCTCCAGGGTTGTCAGTAGATTTCCTATTGTGTTGTCAAACTCCAACAAAGCATCTCCAAACGGGCCCCTTAAAGACCGCCCAGCTGCCCCTGGACCTGCATACTGCGGGTAGTGGGTGTGCTGTGGAAGGAAGGACACAAAAAATGCAATTATTGTTGTATCTTACTGCACTAGTTTACCATAATCTACAACATTGTGGATCTTGAAAAACTCCCTTTGACGTGGACCTGTACTACGAATTGTGAAAACACGTTTTTAAACCTGCACTGATTGGGTTGTTCTGTACTATCACAGGCCGCTTTTGCTGCTTACATGTGAGGGATAGTAGAGGAAGAAAGGTTGTTTTTTCTTGGCTGATGTGGTAATGAAGTTGGTTGCAAAGTCACTGTAAGCCCTTTCCAGATCGAGGAAGTTGACTGGCTGCTGTTTGATGACCTCATTGTGCATTAGTGGGACAGTTACAGTGCCAACATCGCACAATCCAAAACACTTAACATCTGGAGGGAAACACGTCAGGTTCCGACAGGGGCCCTGGGAAAGAAACAGGGTGACAGATGAGACATGACAGAAAACAAGCAGCTTTTAATAGATCACAACACAGATGACATTTAAAAACTTTCCAATTCAATCGCACTGACCATGTCATGTGAGTAGGGGATCCCCAGGTACTGGTCAAACCCCTGCTTGGTTGGAAGAAACATCCCTTTGGCCCCAAATCCTAAGTGCCACTTCCCTATGGCAGCAGTAGCATAGCCCAGAGGTTTCAACACTTCAGCAATAGTGGTTTCATTCAGAGGAAGACCGCCTATAGAGCCTGGGTACAACACTCCTGGGTAGATACCTGAACGGGTCTGGTAGCGCCCCGTCAACAAAGACGCCCTGGAAAGCCATCAAAACACATTACTACTTAATGTATGGACAGGAAGTTGGGGGTTTCATGCTGTGCAAAATAGAAACTGGACAGTTATTGAGATGTAGCTAAAAGAATCTAAATCATCTATTAATTCAACATGGAGAAAGTCTTCCTTATTAACTAGGGCTGTAGTACTGTAGCGCTGCAGAGGTGCCCTGGTCTACAAATCTCGTTCTCCAGATTTAAGAAAACAATGTTTGTTTTCACATCATCATGATTTGAATAGTTTTTTTGTTGTGAAAATTCAATTTGTGATGCAAAAATAATCATTCCCACATAACCGTGAATCACAATATCTGTCAAAATAATCGCAATATGATGTTTATACCATATCTTGCAGCCTTATTATGGACCAGCTGTTGTTAATATGTCTTTGGATATGTGGATGAAGGATGAAAACAACGGTTGTAATGGTGTAACTTCATGCTGCATCATATTGTGTTGCTCAGTATTAGACCCTTGATCCCTTCCTCGTTCACTGTGTTTGAAATCTGTTGACCTATGCGGTGCTGAGGTTCATGAAGTAGTCACCACATCAAGTCGTGTTTGTGTCATAAACGCTAAGAACAGGTTGTTAGTCATGTTGCTTCGTTCCTCACTCAGACAACGTGATCTGTTTTCAGTTCCTCCCTCAAGTGTTGTTCTGTTCTGTGGAAAGTTACAAGGTTGTAATAAACTGGAGATCTCAATGTAAGACACATTTTCAGACACTATGTATTTTTGCAGAGTTGGTATCCAATTGTGATACCATCCAATTGTTTAAATTACAACTCTAAACACACACACACACACACACACTAACCCAGACTGAAGTTATAGTGTGTCTGCTAATCAGCAGGGAGTTAATATTAACCACTTTTTTATTAATGAGGCTCACAGTTTTGCTGATATGGTTTCATCCACTCATTCAAACCTCAGAAAAGATGCATATTAAAGTGTGTGTGTGTGTGTGTGTTTGAAATATGAGGCAAAACATGAAGTAAAAGTAATATACAGGAAGTTACTTTTACTCCTGTCTCCAGTCTGCTCTTCAGCCAACGTACGGGGTTCAACCACTTGCTGTAAGGTGTATTTTACCCACCTACTGTCATTTTAAAGTGAAATGAAATTACAGGACTTATAAAAGGTGTGTGCAGAGATAAAAACATAGCGTTTGTTTGTCAGGTAGTGATCAGCTCTGATTCTTCCTCCCACACACAGGCATATACTTCAGTCCTGTGTGAAGTGCAGACAGATACCTGGACGGGCTGCACACCGGGCTGGTGCAGTAGAAATCTGTAAACCGGAGTCCTCCTGCTGCCAGGCGGTCCAGGTTCGGAGTGAGTGAGCTGGGGTGTCCATAACAACCCAGGTCCCCGAAACCCAGATCGTCTGCGAAGAGGAGGACGAAGTTCGGCGGTGAAGCCGAGCAGGTGCGAAGGAGAAAAATGTTCAGCACCAAGAGGCGGATGAAGTCCATCCTGCGTCGTCCTGCGTCGGTGGAGACGAGGAACCGTCCAGACCGGACAGCGAAACCAAACCAAACGTCACTGTCGCGTACAGATGACGCCACGCGCGGTCAGGAAATGTAGTCTCATTTAATATTTTGGATTAGCCTACAAAATGCAGGTGAAGTAATGTATTCTTCTGAATTTTCTTAAATCAGGAAGAACTAACGGCGTTTTTAAGAATTCCTAAATAATATCTGTTTTGTCAATGTTTTATTATTATTTATTCTATAACATTTAATTTAATCTATTTTTATACTGTCCCTGCTTTATAATTCCAGGGCTTGATTCATCATTTTTAAATGATGGAAATTGTGCTTTATTTATGAGGTTTCTATCTCTGAAAAGACATTTTTAAGAAAAGAAAAAGAAAGGTGAGGCAACATTTTAGTGGTTACAGCTGCTCAGCTGGACTTATATAGGAAAGGCTTCTAACAAGGGGTGGACAGTAACAAAGTACATTTACTTTATTGCTGTTAAGTACATTTACACGAGTATCTGTACTTATTACGAGTATTCATTTTTTGGAAACTGTCTTTGACTCCACTACATTTGAGAGGCAAATACTTTTGATTCGATTATATTTCTATGCCTCTGAAATAGTCTGTCTACAAAAAGTTCCCATGTACCTTGAAAAAACATGTACTTCCATGCAGTGTTTACTCCCTTTTAAATTGCATTAAGGATGTAAAATCCTGGATGGCAAAAATCTTCCTTCCACCAAACAGGAATGGTCCTTTTAAAACTCCACTATCAATGCCCTCAGGCCTCTGTCATCGAAATGCAAAAATGTGGTTTTATCTTTGGTTTAATATCTGATAAACAAATTGACTCACCAGCACTAGCTATTATTACCATCTTAGATCACTTGCAAAATTAAAATCATTCCTCTCAATTGAAGATTTGGAGACAAGCACACTTTTATTTCCTCTCGCCTCAACAACTGCAATTCTCTCTATGTAGGAATCAGTCAGCCCTATCTTGCCTGCTGCTGGTCCAAAATGCAGCAGCGAGACATCTCACTGGGACCAGGAAGAGAGACCATATCTCCCCCTTACTGACCTCTCTTCACTGTTTACCACTGAAGTACAAAGCTGATTTCAAGATTATTTTATTTGTTTTTAAAGCACTGCATGGACTGGCACTCCCCCGACCTTCAGATCTGGTGACCAATTACTCCTTCCCCTTCCTCGCACCCAGTTAAAAAAACAAAGATGATCAAGCATTTTCATTCATTCATTTCAATAGTTTACCACTAACAAATTATATCTCCCCCTTTGTTTAATAAATTTAAAGACCCTTCTCTTTTCCTTAAATATCATCATGGAGAAGGCCTGACCACACATTTTATTGTCTGTCCAATGCTATTGGGTGGTAGGATTTATCAAGATATCCCATGCTTTTATTAATTTACTTATATGCTCTTACTTATTATGTGTGTGTTTTATTTAATCACTTTGCAAAGCACTCTGGTCGACGTTTGTTGTTTTTAGATGTTCTCTGTGAACAAACTTGACTTGATTTAATAGTTAGCTGACAAAAATGTATTTCAGAAATGTATTTGCAGTATGTTTTAATCTTGTCAAATAAACTGGCAACAATATAACAATGTGTTGACATTAAAAAGAAAATATATTTTTGCATACTTTTTTAAAGAAAGTACTCCAGTACTTTAATTCAAGTATTCAAGATTTTGACTGAACGCACTCACTTATATTGGAATAATATTTGACCAGGAGTATCTACACTTGACTCAAGTCATGGACTTGTGTACTTTGTCCACCCCGCTTTTAACAAATAAATTTGTATCAATATGACAAATTAAGAGGCGCTTAACCTGCGACTAGACTCTGTCCACTATGGCAGGAGAGAGACTGTCCAGAATGTCCTCAGCTGTGATGTTTTGTCCTCCTCTTGACTGAAGCAGTTGAGCCTGCAGCTGAGTTTTTGTCCTCTATGGCAACCTTGGTTTCTGTCAAGATTCGACCTGACACATGATCAATTACGCAATAAGAGGAGAAATGAATCAGTGCTGCCGGAGCCACCAGTTTGAGGAGAAATGGACGTCACAGCTGATTTTGTAACGTGAAGACCACAGTCCAGTACTGGGCCTATTTATTTATTTATTCTCAGAACAAGCTTCAGTGAGGTAGACAGGGTAAGAAAAGGGGGGCGGGGACTGCTACCTGCATTGAGGCATTGTGTCCATGACAGAGAGAGAACACATAGAAATCCCAACAGATAAGTAATCTAAATCACAGGAACACTTCACTCAGGTGATTTTATGTAAAGCTAGGCTGACACCTGAAACAGAGTCGGTGAGGAGAGGCCTTCTATTGGAATTCAGATAATGGCTGTTTGCTGATGAATTATGCAACACATCCACTGTACCTTTTCACCACAAACGGCAATGTGTGTGTGTGTGTGTGTGTCACCTATCAGTTAGCTAGTGCCACTGTTAACCCTCAGGGAAGCGTTGCTGTGGCATTGGCTGATAGATTTGATTTACTATTCACTTTCACATCTCTCTGGACTGACCTACATTCCGGAGCTACTCTGAACTATACTCTCTGTGTGTGTGTGTGTGTGTGTGTGTGTGTGTGTGTGTGTAAGAGAAAGAGAGATATAGAGAGAGAGTTGTGGGAAGTGGTAGATGTTCCAAAACTATTGATGCAATTTCATCCGCTGTTTTCTCATTGTCTGCTGTTTTGCTTCCCTCACGTGCATTTTTTCATGCTGTGATCAAACTCACCCATCCACCCCTGGATTGTTGTAATCTGCATTAGGTCTATACATGCTATGTTGTGTGTAATGTATTGAGTCATTCTGTGCATATATAGCCAACAGCGTGGCCTTAGAGGAAAGGGAAGAAGCAGGCGTATTGCTTGAAATAATAACTTTTACTGTAATATTTAACCTACTGAACTTAAGAGAGTGCACACACAAGCACACATGCTTAATAAATGCCAACGTGATCACTGCAAGCTTTTGAAAAACCTGCAGGAGCTCCCTTCATCTAATCTTCTGAAACCCTATGCTCTTATCTCTGCGGGGAACGACATGGTACTACAGGCCTGAAGGGGAGCCACTGACATTCCTCCTTTTCCATGGCAGGTGTTGCCTTCCAGATTTACAGACCACAAATCTTTTCAAAGTACCATGCTCAGTTCTGGTAAACGATGAATCGGTCATTAGTCCAGTAGCTTGTAACAGAATACCTAGAAGCAGCCATCATTAGGAGCAAATAATTAATGATCATGGCCGTTTAGGTTTTGCCACCACTAATGACTCGTGAGGGTGTTTGCCAGACAGCCCATCTAATGGGTGAGCATGTCGCGTAGAGAGGAATAAGGAGAGCCACTGTGTGTGTGCCACACAGCCCTGCCATCACAGTGATTCAGTAAAAGATGACTGCTCTGACCTTTTCTTACGAGTAAATGAAAACTGTTGGCAGTGACAAACACAGAGCAGAACAAGTTGCTTGAAGCAGCTGAGGCTACAAAAAGGTCCTTACCCCTGCCTGTGTGACACGTGTGTGTGGACACGAATAGCATGCATGAGTTTGTGTGTGGCTGTGTCCACACTTCTGCTAACCATCAGTTGCCATCTCTTCTTGGCTGCAGTTATTTATGATTGAAATTTGGGCAGATTTATATAAGATGGATTGTCCTACCAGAAAAACTTGATTTAATGTTCCTTGACAGAGTGTGTGCGTTCATGTGTATGTGTGTGTGTGTGTGTGTGTGTGTGTGTGAATCTTTTGCAGCTTTTTGCTTTAAACATCTGCTGTCCCAGCCTGTGGGCAGGGTGTGTGTTTATGTGAGTGCATTTAAAAGTGAGTGCATGTGCATATAATGCGATTGCTGGAGGCAGATGAAGGTGTGGTACAAAACAACCCTGAAAAGTTGATGGAGAAAATGAATCCCATCATCCACTCTGATCCCTGAGGACAGAAACAAGGAGAGAGGGAAAACAGCCTCACACACCTACAGGGAAGAGTCCCCCCTCACCAGACACACATACAGACACACACACACACACACATCTCCTTCTCCTCCCATCTTTTTCCTCTTCTTATTAGTAAGATATAATTATCACAGTTTTCTGTGCATGCCGCCAGTTTATTTGCTTTCACAAGAGGCACAGTAGGTAATATCTGGGATGTGAGCTAACAGAAAACAAGCAAGAATTGGCTTTTGTGGAAAAACACTTTTTTCTTGCTGTTTGTCATTTCGCAACATTAACAGTCTGAACCTGTGAGTTAAACTGTGAAGGATAATGCCGCAGTGTTTATGGTCCACTAGTCTGTGTAACCCAGCTCCATAAAGTGCAAGTAAACTGTTTGATCACTAGTGGGCACCATTGGATCACAGTTCCACTCACCTTTCTTGCATGTATTGGTCTTAACAGTGTCTGTGAAGGGAAAAAGAACCTCCATTCAGTCATATTTTTACCATTAGTTCTACAAACAATCTGATCTCCCAGGCAATGCTACACAATACATTCAGTAATGGAGCCATTGAGGGTTGATACGTATCAGCAGCACATAAAAATTGCAGTTTAGCATAGTGACATTTCTAGGTTCAGTGAATCTACCCTTTCATGTCTTTATGTTTTGATAACTCGCTGTGTGCTAAAGAAAGACTACAGAAGGTTGCAGTTGATGGAGGACTAGTGAGAGGGAAAGACAGACAGACAGATAGAGTAGGATAGATAGATAGATAGATAGTGAGTAGAGTAGAGTAGAGTAGATCATAGATAGATAGAGTAGAGAGAGTAGTGTGTGTAGAGTAATAATTAGACTAGGAGGTATCTGATAACTGAGATGCAAGTCAAATAAAGGGGGGTTGGGGGGGTTAATCAGTGGATAATTCAGAACAATGGACAGCTCTTAATACTTTGATTTAGCTCTGCCCTGACAGCAGCATGTCTCTAAATGAGCATGCCTGCTATTATCTTGTCGTCATGCAAA